CGCATTAAGTGGTATCTTGAATATAATGTGAAATAGTATCATCATAATATAAAGTATATAACCGATTGAATTTGTTATAATCGCGTTGAGCCGTTTGTCCAAAAGTTTAGTACTAAAAATCGGGTGTTTCGTATATTTTTTTTTACTAAACAAGCATATATACATATATTAGTGCACATTCGTTAATCTAAAAAAAAATATTGAAGTTTTATCAGAAAGGTTTAATGAATTTAAAAGTAAGAGTTGTTTTAAGGGGGTATTCTAGTGTAGAGCGTAATTTTAGGTCATTTTTCAAGTGTTGTAAAAGAAAGCAATGAATGTTTTTACTATCCATTTTTTACCACTTGTTTATTAATATTATTAAAATACAAATCAAAAATTAAAAAATAAAAAAGTTGAAAATTGTAAAAACTGGCAGCTGATGAAGTGGGTGGTCTCAAAAAATTGGCACCTCAGTCTTGACATGATTTCAGCCCTCCTGGCCATCGAAAATGCAAAAAATATAAAGATTATTAATCTGCAATGTTGTCGCAATCGCCTGAACTAGCGATGAGTAAAAAGAATTTTTTTTCACAAATTGGCGACTGTTTGAAAACAAAAGTGTTTTTTTTACTGTTTTTTTTGAGTTTCTAGAATTTTGTAAAAATAGTAAAAATTAAAATTTGGGGATAATCCTAGTTCGAGCTATAGATAGGTCTATAAACAAGACTCTCTGAACATTTCAAGTGAATCGGTCGAGTAGAACTCGAGAAATCGTGTCAACAGTACTGAAAAAGTCTGTTCTGAGAAAAACGCATTTAAAATTTTGCGCGAAGCCAAACGAGTATGGAGACCGAATCAGTAAAATGTCTATATCTCCGAAAATAATTCAAATTTTCAAAAACCTTCTCGTACCCATATTCCTAGACAGTTAAACTTTGAAAATATGAAATAAAAAAAACGATTTTTTTTAACTTCTACACTAGAATACCCCCCTAATATATATTTATTTGACCTCCTGTTTTCAAATTAGCTTTGACGCGATTTACATAAATTTATATTCTAACTTTGCAGTTATCTTAAACACAATACATCATTCTATAATGATATATATATATTATATATATATATATATATATTTGGCAAATTAAACTATCATATATTATTTTTTCTTTTAAGATTTAATAATTCTTTTAAGAAATAATAATTAACTTTATATAAACCACAATTTCTTGAATAATATGTAACCTGGCAAAAGTAGGAATAGAAGAGGCTGGGTACGGTTGTGTCACTTTCTTGATGGTCATGTTTAATTCTGATAATATACTAGTTAGCTAAGAAAAAAGCAAATTGAAATGTAATTTAAACATTTGTCTACATGTAAATACAAAATACGAAGGATCAGTCATAAAATCAAATCATACAAAAAGAGAGCGAGTGTCCCAACCGGCCACACCCCAGGACGGTTGTGACAGGCATAGAAATAGGTGAAAATAATAGGTTAACACCAGAATGGTTTATAACGACTTTTATTGTAAAATATGTATATGTAACACAACACAACACACAACATAATAATTTAATGAATATAATATAACAACAACATAATTTTTAAACAAAGGCAACTAATATTTTTTTCTTGTATTGAATTTTACTTTCTCATTTTCTTTCATAGTTCGTCTTATTTAAAATAGATTTTTTTTATCTATTAATCTTCAACCCTAACGCACACTTTTGAAAATAAATCATCGTTATGGTTGAGCTAAATATCCACGCAAAAAGTAATTGCTGGTAATTAACTACTAATGTTCAACTTATAGCAAAATAATAACCAAGGTGATCTATATGTTTACAAGTAACAGTTATTGTTAAAAGAAATTGAACAAAAAAACTTACTTTCGACTCTTTAAATGCATTGCGGTCTACAGATTATGTTAACGTTAACGTTGGAAATGCAATAATGGAAACTTGTTCAAACAAACATACTACATTTTTCTTCCTTTGGGCCCTATATCACAAAATCAGTATAGTTTAGTTGTTATGGCGACAGTCATTAACATACCCGACAGTGATTTTATTTACATTTAATATGGAACTGTTTTACATTTTGTTAAAACAAATCCGGTTCAAATTAAATTGACAATGTAATTAAATGATAATATATTTCGCTGTAATAAATCAAACGAATAGAATTGCTTAATTATGTAAAAATGTCCACAAATAAGTAAGAATCGAAAATACACTGACTGCAAAAGTGCGCATAACACACATTTTTCAAATTACAATAAAAATTCAATTAATATTTTCCATATTTTTTACAATGTTTCTGAGTTATCATAACGTGTTGTGATTTCGACTAGTATAGTGTGTTCATCAGTTAAAAAATTATTATTGACAAATAGTTTTTGGTAATTTGTAATAAATAATCAAGTAAGATTATATTTTTTTTCCTCATTTTTATTGCATGGCAACCACAAAATTTTGTATTATGTTGATGATGAAATGTATCTAATTTCATGATACAGAATTTTAGCAGGCGATTTATTCTTATAGTAAAAGGTATCACTGTTCAATATATCACTATAGTTAAATGAAAGTTCTATAATTGCAGTAACAAAAATAACAAATATACGAGTTTAGACAAAATTATACTGGGTACGAGTGCTACAAAGGACAACATATAAAATTAATTCACTTTCAATTTTGAATTCAATTTTCTTCCAGTTTCAAAATATTTTTTTCAAACAAGTCCAAATAGTTTTCACTTTTGAACTTGAGGATAAGATGAACTTAATTCCAAAATTTCATGCAAATCGGAGCACAGTAAAAAAATTCAGAGGCTATACCCTTTTTTTTCAACTCCGTTTACTGCACTATCATATTCATTGGGATTATTTATATTCATATTATACTAGCAATTCGTTTTATAAATATTACATCTATTATTTAAATGTAATATAGTAGGTGGCTAATGCCCAATTTAGCAATGCCAATAAATAAATATAAATAAATAATCTATTATTTAATGCATATCTTCCTTGTTAATATTTTTATCTCCATACATGTTCCCAAAGATTTTACTATGTTAGTAATATGATTTTGGCATTTTTTAAAGCGAAATATTTTTGGGCAAATGTATTCAAATAGATGTTCAATACCTAATAAATATAAATTTATTTTTAAGCTGTCTCTATTTTAAAAAATTTAACTATTGAACAAACACTCAGTGGCATATAGCTATTGCTGAATCGATTTGAATTGAATTTGAATTCAAATAATTTATATAATTACATTATATTATTTATTTACTTTATTCCATCGTTTCTACAATTTAGCAGCAGCTTTTTGTATGCAATTTTTAATCAATTAAAAACATGTAAATGTCAAGCTAATCATGTCTTGCCTATTGAATTACATTGTTATTTTAGAAAATAATGAAGTAATTCATATGATTCAAATGCCAATAGCGATAAGTACTTCTTGTATAAACATACAATTAATTGAATAATTAAAAACAACAACAATTGCATTTACATACATTAGTATTGATTGAACGATCATCATCTTATTGTTTGTAATATAATTAATTTGAACCGAATATTAATTCGATCGAATGACAATAAAAAATTGACAATTTTAATATAGATTGGTAGTTAATTTTAAAAACTAATTATTAATACTATCTAATTGCTTCCTGTAATTTTTTTTGTATTACAGCCTATCTGTTGATACATAGAATTTGAAATAAGATATTTGTGATAATATTATTAATATATTTATGTTTCATGATTAAATATTATACTAAACTTGTTTTCATATTAAAGTTCATAAATATATATAAATGTAATAAAAAATAAAACTTTGTAGGAGCTTTGGAAAGAAAAAAACTTTGTAGTTTTTTTTTATATATTCTATTTATTTTTTATTTAACAATCCCTACAACTTTTTTTTTTAAATTTTATACTATTTTTATTATATCATATATGTATGTATTATCTTTTATCATATCATAATATTATAACCTGGCTTCTTCTTTTCAACTTTTAATTCTACTTCATCTCAAACTAACAATTCAAATTCTAATCAACTTCAATTAGTCCAATCATTTAAGCTTAAATTAGGTAAGAATCTCGGAAATCGAGATACCCAGCTTTAAGTCTGTAAATACCCTAAAATGGCACCCTAAAAGTTGTCTCAAAACCTACATATCGTACGTACACTCTACCATATGTAGGTTTTGAGACAACTTTTAAATGTCAATATACAAGTATTTACAAACTTACAGCTGATTATATTGAATTCCGAGGTGAACTTACTAAAATGACTGGACTGTGCCAGGACTCGAACTGATTAACTCTGGCGCATGAGTCAGGCACGCCACTGATTGAGCCATTCGCGATACAGTTTGGTATCTTAATCCAACTGGTTATTATAGTCTTTATAATTAATTTTGAACTTTAATTTTGTAATATAGCAGTATAACTATTTTGTAGATATAAAAAATAACATTTTCACAAAACTCCATAAACATTTGAAATGTTACATTTCAAACATTATTGTGACATTAATTATTATATTGAATATAATGTGTATTTATGTTACGTAGTTATGAAATTTATTAAAACTCTCCTTCGATAACTTAGGTTGTTGGGTTATAATTTAACCCTTGTAGCTGTGGACTGTATTAAACACTGATTTATTTGTATATTATGTATTTGTTGCAGTTCTAATTACAATCACTGATTTGTCACTAAGTAATAATGAAAGAAGATATATTTATTTATTATTTACTATACATGTTGTTTCGCGGACTTTACTTTTAGAAGGAAACAACTAGCTCAATTAAAACACTCCGCTATCCCCTCTACCCTGTTTAATGCCCTGAAGGTTGTCTTAATGGCCAATATAATAAAACGAAAATACGTTCGAACATAATACTTTAAAGTCTTTTTACAATTATTAAATTTAACTGCAATATTTTATATAAATTCTATAAAATGTTTTTTTTTCAAGGAGTGCCATAGTCTTGCGAGCGCCAAGAGACATGGGGGCAATGGATGACCACTGGAGCACCTCGTCTGCACCACGCGTTCCACGTCTCCGGATGACTAAAGTTCACATACCTTTCACATTCAGGGTACTTGATTCATCCAATTCTGAACCTTATAATGGTAAATAGAAATGCCAAATTTTTTATGTTTTCTTATTTAGTAATGATAATCTTGAACTTAAATAATAACTCAGCGTGACACTAGTTTTTTTTTTTTTTTTAATGAATTTTGCTTACAACTCTGTTTTCGAGATATACCAATGTGCTAGTTAACTTCCCGAAGGTTTTCATAAAAAAAAAACGATTCGCTAATTTTATGTTTTCTCGACGTTTCAAGACATTCTGAATCGATTGAGACCAAATTTGGAAAAAGTATATGTGTGTGTGTGCGTGTGCGTGTTTCTTCTCGAAAACGGCTGGACCGATTTCAAAAATTTAAAAGCCATTCGATGTATCTCGATGAGGACTATTGTTTGTCAATTTTGTGCGACAATCGGCCAAGCCGTTTCTTCGTAAATAGCAGAAAAATGAAAAGTTTTTCGTCCACGTTTTAGCCCGCAATTCTGAATCGATTTTGATAATTCAAAAATCTTTCGAAAGATATTGGTTGGGATTCGTCCTGATTAGTTTTTGTAGAGATCGGCCGGGCCGTTTTCTTGTAATAAGGTGTTAAAAAAATATTTTTCGTCGATTTTTATTATTATTTTTTGACGATAGATACCATAGTCTTCTAGATAATACAAAAATATTACTGCTCTACGACAACTCGTTTAGCTTTATAAATTCATCAAAGTTTGCAAAAATTAGTATGGTCTTTTGGGCATTTGTCAATATTAGAACTTTTATCGAGGTTTGCTCAAAAACGCCTGAACCGATTTCAGAAATTTAAAAACCATTTGATGTATCTCGATGAGGATTATCGTTTCTCAGTTTTGTGCGACGATCGGCCGAGCCGTTTCTTTGTAATTTGAAAAAAAGTGTTAAACCTTTCGTCTATATTTAAGCTCATACTACCGAACCGATTTTAAAAAATCAAAAACTGTTCGAAAGATATTAGTTGGGAATCATTCTGATTAGTTTTAGGTGAAAATCTACCGAACCGTTTTCTTGTAAATAACTGTTGAAAAAAAAATTAAGCCGATTTTTATGGAACTTTTTTGGGCGATATATATCATGGTCTTATAGACCTTACTGAAATATTACGGCCTAACCACAAGTAGTTTAATTTTAAAAATTCTTTTGACATTTCTTAAAATTAAAATTAGATGATTTACCTGGACCAAGCAATAAATGCTTGGTCTAATGAACATACTAAACAATTAAAGCCCTACAAAAAACTGGCTCAATTATTAAAATTATTGATTTTTGAAAATTTGCTTTAAAAAATACTCCGACCTGGTTGATGTGTTCGATTTTCAATAATGTGTTATAAATCCACTTCGAATACTTTCAACTACTTATAAATTAATTTATCTATTATGAATTAAGTCGATTATTTACACAAATCGGGAATTTCATGTAACTTGCCTCAAGGCAAAATACCAATACCAACTAGTTTTATCTCTAATTGCAACAAAAAAAATAATTACTTTATTTTGTCTTTAAAATTCTTTTCTTATGATTTTCGAGCGTGGACAAGGCCTGACTGATTTTGTCGTAAGATCCAACAATTTTCTCTCATCATGTGGAAGTATCATCCTTTATGATATCCTCCTCCTCCTCCTAAGTACTGATGTATCAGTGGATTCTGTCATACTGCTCCCTGCTAATATCTCCGAGAATTTCCAAAAACCGTTCTAAATGAGAGTGAGGGTAATGAACTCAAATCCATTACATCAAATATATCAGTTTTTAAATCTTCCTGTCATTTCTATTATCGTTGGTCTTGAAGATGTTGAGAGGTTGCTCATCATTAGCATGGATAGGGGTCGTGTAGGTGATTGTAAGTAGGCCCAATACCACTGAGATCTCGTTTTATGACCATATGCTTCTATTGCCTGAATAGAATTGATATTTACCACAGAGAAGAAACAGAAGATATTTACCAAACAGAAGTCATCTTGGTCATTCTGAGTTTTTTTTTTTACTAATTTACGGGGATACTAAGATTATGGTATTTTTTCCCCTTTTGGATAATAACGTGTCGTAAACACACTACGTCATTTTCTCACATAGCCAGAAAAAGCTATGTTTTATCTTGATTGCACATTTCAATTTTAAGCCGATTCGAAAACAGCAGATATAACTCTTGGTTATTCGTTGAACTAATTGGGATAAAGTCCTCTAAAACTGAAAAAACTGGAACTGTTACGGAAAAAGGGAAGGTATATTTAAAATCAGCGTAAAATTCCAAGAAGGTTTAAAAGAAGGTTAGAGCAAAAAAAAACAAAATTGCCATTTTTGTCACACATCTTTCTTATTAAGAATTTACTATGTTTTGTTTGATGTTTTTACCCATCGCATAAACATATGATGATGAGATGTTGTCGTAGGTAATTGTATATCTTTACGAGATTTGAAACCGGTTACTATAGGAGTTGATAATTTGCTAGTTTGCTAATTATAAAATTAATTCAACATGAACAAGTGCAATAAAAATAAAGTAGTAAATAGTTTAAAAGAAAATTGTAAGTAGATAATTCATTCCAATATTTACTATACTAAACAGAATTCTACACGAGAATAGTTTTATATTTACAGTTCATAACTCATATATCTATTTTCATTTCAAATTAAACAAGACTTGAGTTATGTAGCATTTCAAGGTGATGGCCATCGAGGTGATAGAATAGTGCTTTGAAATTCAACCTCGTAGAAAAATTAAGTGCATTTTCTTCAATGAAAGCTTGACATTGTGGATAGTATCTTTGTGTTGTCATCCAAGGGATATTTTTTATTATTGATTTCTTATTTCTTATTGTTTGCTCTTTGCATATTACATGTAAGTAAAAAGATGCCGATATAAATATAAAGTTTTAATCTTCTCATATCTTAAGATAATCGTATAATTGCATATTTATCATAAGAATCGTGTATTGTTTATTATTCTAAGTTTTCATTTTTTTGTTGCTTATTTAACTAATCAATTATTTGTAATCAATCAGCATAACTCATAATCATTTTGTATAATTTGCATTGTAATCATAATATTATAAAGGTCATCCTTTGTTAACAAGAGAAGATTTTTTTATTGTTCTATTCACAATTTATCATTCTAACAAGGTCGTTAGGCTTTGAAACTTGCAAAAGAAATTCAGCGACACGAAATTAATTGTATAGCTTTTACTGTTTAAATAAAAATACTAACTTTATTTATATATTTGTCTATAATGAATGCGGTGAGCTTTATAGATCTTTTCATACAATAATGCATGCTGTGTATTCAAGACTGATAACTAATCATACTTATATACTTATTAAATTTTATATATTATTTTTAATTGTATGCATTTATTTTATTCACTAAATATTATGTTTGGAGCCAATGGGAACCAATTAATGATAAATATTTATTAAATGAAAATTCTAATTAAGAATTACATACAAGACTTATAAGAGACCTTGTAATCATGCATTTTTTATTAGAATTGTATAAATCTTTGGAGATTTCAATTATGTGCCTAATTCCTGAAGGAGAAGTTTGTTTTCATTATAAAATCCGATTCGCTAATTTTATGTTTTCTCGACGTTTCAAGCCAATTTGAATCGAATGAGAACAGATTTTTTGCCGTAAATCGAAGTTTTCTCAAAAATGGCTGGACCGATTTCAAAAATTTAAAAGCCATTCGATGTATCTTGAGGAGGACTAGCGTCAATTTGATTGATATCAATTTTGCGCGACGATCACGCAAATTGACGAAATTCTTTGTAAATTCTGTGTATTCAAGACTGACAACTAATCAACTTATATACTTATTAAATTTTATATATTATTTTTAATTGTATATTTATTTTATTCACTAAATATTATGTTTGGAGCCATTGGGAACCAATTAATGATAAATATTTATTAAATGAAAATTCTAATTAAGAATTACATACAAGACTTATAAGACCTTGTATCAGCATTTTTTATTAGAATGGTATAGATCTTTGGAGATTTCAATTATGTGCCTAATTTTTAACTTCCTGAAGGAGAAGTTTGTTTTCATCATAAAATCGATTCGCTAATTTATGTTTTACTCGACGTTTCAAGCCATTCTGAATCGAATGAGAACAGATTGTTTGCCGTAAATCGACGTTTTCTCAAAAATGGCTGGACCGATTTCAAAAATTTAAAAGCCATTCGATGTATCTTGATGAGGATTAGCGTTTATCCAATTTTGCGCGACGATCAGCCAAGCCATTTCTTTGTAAATAGCAGGAACGTGAAAAATTTTTCGTCCACGTTTTAACCCGCAATTCTAAATAGATTTTTAAAATTTAAAAACCGTTCGAAAGATATTGGTTGGGAATCATGCTGATTAGTTTTTGGTAGAGATCGGCCGGGCCGTTTTCTTGTAATAAGTTTCAAAAAAACGACGATTTTGTGATTATTTTTTTTGACGGTAGATACTATAGTCTCTCTAGATCATACTAAAATATTACGGCCCTACAACAACTCGTTTAGCTTTAAAAATCATCAAAGTTTGCAAAAATTGGTATCGTTTTTTTGGCATTTGTCAAAATAGACCTTTGATCGACGTTTTCTCAAAAACGCCTGAACCGATTTCAGAAATTTAAAAGCCATTTGGATGTATCTCAATGAGGACTATCGTTGGTCGGTGAGTTTGTGAGAATCTTCCAAAACGTTTCTTTGTAATTTGAAAAAAAGTGTTAAACTTTTCGTCCACATTTAAGCTCAAAAACTACCGAATCGATTTTAAAAATCAAAAACTGTTCGAAAGATGTTAGTTGGGATGATACTGATTAGTTTTAGGTGAAAATCTACCGAGCTGTTTTCTTGTAATTAACTGTTGAAAAAAAAAATTTAAGCCGATTTTTATGGCACTTTTTTCGGCGATATATATCATGGTCTTATAGAACTTACTGAAATATTACGGCCTTTTACGACAAGTAGTTTAATTTTAAAAATTCATCAAAGTTTGAGAAAATGAGTAGTTTTTTTGACGTTAGCTAAAATTAAAATTCGACGATTTACTTGGTATAAGGATAGAGTACTTAGTCTTAATGAACATATACTAAACCAATAAAGTCCTACGGAAACTGGTTCAATTATAAAAATTATTGATTTTTGAAAATTTGCTTTTAAAAAATATTCCGACCGGGTTGACGTGTTCGATTTTTAATAATGTTTAATAAATCCACTTCGAATACTTTTAACTACTCATAAATTAATTTATCTATCTGTATCTATCATGGATTAAGTCGATTATTTACACAAATCGGGAAGTTCATGTAACTTGCCTCAAGGCTAAATACCAATACCAACTAGTTTATTCATTTATTTCAGAACTTCGTTGCGCAGTATCATCCCGCGTGGCGTACTCCCTGCTCGCATTTTGGGCTGTGCCCATAATTGACCTGCACCGGGCTCTGTGGAGGCCTTGGCCCGAACTCAGAGCTCTCCTTGAGACCCTTGCCTACAAAGGTAGCCCTGAAAAGGAAACGGAAGCTGAGAATCCTGCTACCGAAAAGTATTGTGATTGTGATAAAAGTTGTGACAGTGAAAAAGTATCTTGTGAAAAATGTTCTTATAGTGATGAGAAAGATGGATTAAAGTTCAGAAGGAAAGGAGATACGCCATTTAGTCATGCGCATCGCGAATGCAGGACCGGTGTCGCCCACGAGGAGAAGTCGATGACATTGAGGCCTCCATGGCCTGGAGAGCCTGGGCCACTTGGAGAACCTCCGAGGCAGGATTATCCTTTGGTAGTGTTACTCAAACGAGAGGATGATCAAACCGAAAACGATCTGCAAAGTTCCGATGAGACTGTGAGTTTAATTATATATTATCTTTTGTTTATTTTCTTTATCAAATTTATACATAACTAGGTGACTCGACAGACGTTGTACGCATGTCTACAATTTTTTAATATAATATACTAATAATTACCGTTTGCCTAAAAATAATAATTAAGTTTTTTAAATTACTCTTCACGCCAAAAAGCAAATACATTTATAATATGAGCGATGGTAAATGTACAACTGCTTTAAATAAAATGATGAATCTCAATTCCTACACTATATTGGAAATTGAAGTCTTTTAAACGGTACAACATAACCATACCTATAACATAACACTGGTACTTCATGTTGGATTAAATTATTTTTTATTATTTATGATATCCAAAATTGCATCTTAAACTTCTCCTAATCGATATCGTGAGGGTCGAATTGTATGTATTCATCTTTACTTTCCCATTTGTTGTTATAAGGTGAAATTTTTACGAATTTGAAAAATATTGTGGAAAGATTAGTAAACGATGCAAAGAAATTATATATTGAAAAAAAAACTATATAGAAAATTTAATCTGCGAATCTTGTGTTGGCGCCCCTAAGGATTGCGCTCGTATTTTTCGCATGCATCGCATTAACGGTAGGCCCAGCCCTGATTAATACTTAATTTCATATTTTAAGTGAATTAATTTGTCATATCCTGTTCATATGTGTATCATTCAATCTGCCATGCATATACTGTATCTCATATTATTTTTAATTTCTGGCACATTTCAGCTGCTTTTTGGCAATAATAATGTAAACATTTCATTTTTCTTATTCATAATCATAAATTTATTATACATATTCTAATATTGTTTAGGTTCATAAGTAAATTGAAATTGTTGGCAGATGATAGTTTTCATTTGTTTTCAATGCAAACAATGACATGTCATTTTTTGCAATTTTTTTCCATTTATTTCTACAATATTGCATATACATCTCAGTACTTTATAATCACATACATCCTAGAAAATTTCCTTAACAAACTACAGAAAGATTTATCAAAATCCGAATAATGGTTTAGGATTAGTATACAGTGATTGCTTGTAATTTAATATGAACTTTAAATAATAGCAATAAAGCACAAATTGATTCTACTATTGATCTTAGTTAGAAAACGTTTGTATGTGAAAAAGAAAAGAGCAGGTTTTAGGGTTTTCCCGGCAATTATTCGATTCATTTTTATATATAAGAATACATTAGACATAAGTCTATACGGACATAATATAAATATAATATAAATAATATATGGAACTATTATCTCAATTTAAAATGAAGATTTAGCGTATAACTAGGCTTAAAATAGATTAGGATTTTTTTAGAAAAATATATCGTAACTTTTTTATCGTTTCGAGCTGCTAATCACGATCGATTAACTACAATTGATCAGCTTTCGATAAAAAAAATGATGGATTTGGATAAAATTTTATTTTAGGTCATGACTATTATTTATACTTGTTTAATTGTGATTATGGCACAATTTATTATTTAATAGTGTCCCCAGTGCTGGATTTACAGTAGAGGCAATCGGGGCTACTGCCCAGGGCGGCAAATTTTTGGGGGCGGCGAAATTTGGATAGCAAGAAAAAAATTCTATACAATATAATCAAATTTTTTTACCAACATTTTTATATTTCAAGAAATATAATTAACAAAACATAATACGATTGCAATGCAAAATTTGGGTTGAAATAACCGATTATTAAAATTTATTATTTTGCCTTGCCTCCCTCTCCGAACGTAAATTATCAAATTTGTTAATAAGTTATTAAATTTGGCAATTTGGCTAATATAAAGATCCGTAAACAAGCTGAAAGTTTAAGAAAAATATTTACTTCAGTTCTCGAGCCCTCTTAAAATGACGAATTTGTGCACTTCCAAGCTTATAGCGTCGAAAAAAAATTTAACTAGTGACTCATGGCATTGTGCCTTAAGACAAATTATTGAAACATCCCGTACTAAAAATTACATTTTATAAAAAGCTTTTCAACTTTTTGCAAAGCAATCGCGCTGCGTAGCTGTTTCAGAGAAGAAATATCGAAACTCAATTTATATTTTTTTATAATATTTTTCGTAATTGCCTTTGCCAAAAACTAATCAGCACGTCTCCCCATCAATACAAATCTAATATTTTTTAATTATTTAAGTCGATTTCGGGAACACGGATCAACCGATTTAAATGATTCAATTCCCATTTATAAGTAGATGTGCTGATTAGTTATTGGCCAAGGCAGGTCCACCTGTTTTGAAGATACGGGCCAAAATGCCAAAAATGATAATTCAGTTTTTGAGAAAAGAAGCGTCCAATATCATTCAAAAAAATTTACAGAATAAATAACTGCTTAAATTTGTGTGAGGCAGGTTTATCGATAATCCAATAAAAAAAATTGTAAAAGAAACATTTGGTGGACAAAAGTGATCACAGAACATATGCACATCAAATTATCAGATATTTTAAAAATATGTTAATAAGTATAAATTTTGTTTACTTTTATATGCGTTCTGTAACATTGTTTATCCGTTAGACTGCAACGCGGCGCTTACGCGCTTCTTTATTTTGTCTCTACGCAGCTAAAGCAGCGCGATTGCTTTAAAAAAGTGTGAAAATTTCAGGGATGGGGCGGCTTTTTTGTCAGTGCCCCGGGGCGCCAAATTTCTAAATCCGGCCCTGAGTGTCCCTGTACTTGTAGAATATTTTACACTTCCTTACAAGTCTTATCTCATAAATGTTTAAAAAAATCTAGAAAAGGCTTGTATATTACCAGGTATAAGGCCGTATCTTTTTTGGAACAGCAATTTAAATTTGGCGTTATTTTTTTACTAATGGGTATTAGAATTCAACCCAATTTGTAAAGTTTGTTGTTCTATTTCATTTTTGATGTATTTATATAAGAAGGCACTCAAGTAGTACCTCTAAAGCCATCTTGAAAACATTAATAATATATATTTTCAAGGAAAAATCTGTGTCACTTGACATTCAAGTAAAACTTCGTATCAGATTGCATGAAACTGCGGATTTAAACTCAGAACCTTGTGGTGGCAAGGCCGAGAGAGTATCTTTTGTTGTATGATTCATTTATATAAATAACTTCAAAGAATCATCCATTCTACAATACATACAATATATATGATGGTCGATAATGCGTGCAATAACTTCATATTAATATGTCGCGACGTCGAACTTATTGTCCTTGATAATCCATATATTGTTTCCAGAGATTACATTTCATCATCGATATATTTTTCTCAAATTAACGGGAATTTTGAATAATTCAAATCTGATCATTACCATAGAATTGATATATTATAAATATTTTGAGTAATTGTTATTACATCCGCCACTAATTGTTCAAATGCTATTTAAGGAGCTCACATTTATTTAGAATATATTGTTAGCAATGGAATGAATTTCCATTTAAAAAAATACAATTAGAATGATGGCTCATTTAAAAAAAAATACAATAATATATTACTGAAATTGTTTTCTCTTATAATGAAGAAAAACTTTTTGTTTCTTAATTATTCTGATACGTATATATTTTTTCATTACTTCGCATGCAAAATCCATATATTGTTTAGAAATAGATTATCTTTCTTCCTATCTAGCTCTTGAATTAAAAGCTCCTGTTGAAATGTTGAATATTTTATTTGTTATATTTATGTTTCGATAATATTCTATTTATTTAGTATTTATGATATACATATGTGAAGAATCAGATAATCGTTTTTATGATATCGACAATATCGTTAAAACACACCTTAAAGTGTTAGTCAAACCAATTTTGCTTTAAATTTGACTTTATGGCAATATAATCAATAGTGCAATATAAGTTCTTTAGATCCAACAATGCCCGATAGCTTCAATTTTTTTCAAAAATTTCGTTTTTCCAAAAATGTGCCATTATGGTAAATAAAGTCGCTCGAGGCCTATTAAAAAGTTTTCGGGGTGGTTCGGAATCATTCGAAAGAACTCGCTATTGTTTGGTAATCGTGGTCTCCATGGTAAATACCGTTGTGGTTAGGTTCATGAACGAAGTATGTTCTACGAAATACGTAGCCCATGCGTTCTACGAAGGTTTGGGCCGTTTTTTAAGTTAGTCTATTGAATACGGCACAGTACATGTACATATATCAGTAGATTTAACCACCTAACAGTGCACTGACCATGTTTTTTAGAAGTGAAGCCTTAGTAATCGAAAGGGGAAGAAACTTAAACACGTAACACTACTATCAATTAACTCTCAATTATAAACTAAAAATCATCAAACAGCTAGAAATCATCAAATTTTTGTTTTTTGTAAAAATTAACTGGTGGTGCATGGCATTGTGTCTTAAGGCAAATTCCTGAAACTGAAACTCGTAGCAAAAACTAAAATTAAAAAAAATACTTTGAAATTTTTTTCAAAACTTTCAAATCATTAGATTTTTGAGGATTTTGAAATTTTTTAATTAAATTGACTTTTTTGAAAAAATGATTTTTTATATTTTGATTTTTTTTAAATTATGGACTTTTTTTATAGTAATCACGCTGCACAGCTGTTTCAGAGTCGAGATACCGAAGCGCGTAAGCGCCGCGTCGTAGTCTAACGTGTAACATTGGTACGGAACCCATAGAAATGTACACAAAATTTGTACTTATTATTAAAATCTCTATGAAATATCGGGTAATTTGATGTGCATATATGTCTAGTGATCATTTTTGACTGCCAGATGGCATTATTTTTTACCTTTTTTTTGTTTCTCTGAAAACGCTAGACCTGCCTGCTCAAAAAAAATTGTTTATACAAGTAAATTTTTTTTTGAATATTTCAAATCGAATCTCTCAAAAACTGAAAAACCATTTTTTGCACTTTTTGCCTCGTATCTTTGATATGGCTAGACCTAATACTTTTGCCAAAAACTAATCAGAACATGATCAGCACGTCTCCTTATCAATAGGAATCGAATGTTTTTTTAATAATTCAAATCGGTTGATTCGTGTTCTCGAAATCGTCGGCGAAAAATTGTAGCCGCTCATACATTCACACGCACATACATCCATTTTTTCTAAGACTTAAAATCTCAATAAATTAATTATTCAATCTCAAACAATTAATTATTTCAATTGGCAGGAAATTAAATAATGCAGGGTTTTACAACTTAAAAATTAATATTATATTATAAAAATTAATTATTTTACATTATTTTGCACTAATATGAAACGATCTAATGTTGATTTCCACTTCAATTATTGCTTAAGATAAAATATGTCTTTCATAATTGTGTTTTGAAACTGTTGAACATTTTATTAAATAAATTTGTTAATTTATCTTTTTTCATGTTCATGTTTGCAATGGACTATATGAAAGATTCCAAATCAATAATTGCTCAATTGCTGAGTATTAATCCTGCCTGATGTCCACTTACAATTAGTTGGTATTGCAGTATGTAAAGGTCGTATCTCTGTATATTTCGAAATTTATCTATAAAAGTTTCGTTAAGCCATTGATTTCATAATCGATGACTATTTATATTTCCTCACGTTGTCAGACAGAAATGCTTAATTGATATTGTTTAATATCATGTCGAATGCTCACACGGACGGCCTTGCGTTCCGCAGTCAAAAGACGTGAGAAGAAATAAAATGCACGGGATTATAATATGTGTTACACGTGGAATCTGCAATTGCACTTTTATAGACAGAGCGCTAATAAATATTTGCGGATTTTATTTTAGTTTATTTAAATAGACAATCTTATCACATAGTTTTTATAAGCCTATGTGATGATGTTATTTTTGACGTTTAGAGGTCTTCTCTATTGAGGAGATCCCTGCTAGAATAAATCTATAGCTGTCTGTATAGGATTCATACTTGTCCTTTTTCTTATATTGCCCTTTGGCCATATGTTATTGTGTCTTCTGGTTTGGTTCATTTTGTTGATGATTTGCACTTTTACTGTCCTAATTTCTATATTTGATGTGCTTGCTCACGCCCTTAATTTCATAGTTCCATATTGGTACTAGTACGGTTTTGTATATTAATGTTTTATCTGAGTATGGCATTTTCGATTTTCCTCTAATCAGCCTGTACGATTCCTTAAATTAAATTTTTTCATTGTTTTTTTGTTCTTTTGTTTGATATGGAGATTTCATATGAGGGTACGATCTAGATAGAATACTAGATAATTAATGATGGTACTTGAGGGAATTTCGATGTCTCTTTCGAGTTTGAGCTCTCTCATTGTAAACGTGATGTTTTGATTTGTTTTCATTTATATTTATTTTCTATTCTTTGAGGCATTATTCAATTGCTAATATATGTTCTAAATAAAATATATGATCATTGTACCAGCCGCGAATGTACCTGTTTTTAAATTGATATTTTTGTATATAAAAGTTTGGACCTAGCACGCTACCCTGTGGTACCCCTGACTTTATTGTGTAAAAATCTGATACTGCATTTCTTATTCGTATTCCAGTCCTGAAGTATCTACCTGTCAAGAATGATTTCAATTGACTTTTCCAATTTTAATGAGTTTTTTCATGGCTTAGTGGTTAGAGCTTTGGCTTTCCTACCAAAAGGTATCAGGTTCAATATTCGCCCCGGACAGATAGTTGTCAGCGATTTTCACCTGAAAATAGCAGTAGTGCTATTTAAATATAGATAGCAATTTCTTTCAAGGAAAAATAACCCAATAAAAAGTCATCATTATTGAAGTTTGTCTAATAAAAAAATAACCAGAAAAGAAAGACCAACCGTTGGGTTGCCACATGTAAAGCTACGTTAATAAGATGATTAAGATATTATACTACATTTATTGAACGATAAAAGTGTCACTTTAAATGAATTATAGTTCATTAGCTCTCTGTCTGCAACCTTCATATATCGTCGGCGCATCTTTTGTTCTCACTATTGTTTATTCATATATATTGCATTCATTTTGAATTTTAATTGTCTGGCATATAGAACGCGCACTACTCATTTTATTTCTCGTTTTGTATGAGAAAATGGGATTCATTATCCAATTGAACTTGGAATTGTCGATAGAACTCAAACAACAATAACAATATGATAATGGATTTAAATTCAAACTTATCTATTTTTATGTGTTTGTTTTTCAAATTCGTATAATTTCATACGATACGAATAATTTGAAACCTTCATTAAAGCATTTGCAACAGTACGTAGCAACCCCTTTTCTAAATATATATTGATACAATAATCTTCTATATATGGCATGTGCATGGCATCGTGTCCTAATGCAAATTTCTTGAACTTCACGCACCGTGATTAAAAATTCGAGTAATAAAAATAATCAATAACTGTTTTAAATAATTTCAAATAGATTATCTTCTATATATATAAAAATAAGTCGGGTTTTCCAGCCTGACTAAATAACTCCAGAACGCACGAACCGATTTCGACAATTTTGCATTCGTTGGAAAGGTCTCGGGCTCCGCAAGGTTTATAGGTAAGAAAATTAGTGGTGCATGGCATCGTACCCCAAAGCAAATTGCTGGAACTTTATGCACCGTAATTAAAAATTTGAGTAATGAAAATAATAAACAATTGTTTAATATAACTCCAGAACGCACAAACCGATTTCGACAATTTTACATTCGTTGGAAAGGTCTCGGGCTCTGCAAGGTTCATAACTAAGAAAATTAGTTGTGCATGGCATCCTGCCTTAATGCAAGCTGCTGGAAGTTCACGCACCGTAATTAGAAATTCGAGTAATCACATTAGTGAGAATTATTAGAATTATGCTTGGTTAAGTCAACGAGCAATTCTGGCCGCAAAGAATAATGATGTACAAGCACTGAATTTTACCATTCAATCAAAATTTGCTGGCGATTTGGTGACATACCAATGATTCTGACTGGTCTTCCGTTTGACTTCAAACGATTGCAATTTCCAGTTCGCCTTGCGTTCGCAATAACATGTCGCAAGGCTCATCGCTTAGTGTTTGCGGGATAAATTTCAAATAGATTATTTAGAAAATCATTCTTTTTCACATGGGCAGTTATACGTTGCCTGTTCGCGACTTGGAAAACCATCCGCTTTGTTTGTGTTAACGTCAGACCAAAAAACAAAAAATGTGGTTTACCAAAGAGCACTCCAATGAAACGGATAATTTGCGGATTCACTTTCATTTACTTAGAGAAGTTCAACTAAAAAACACTTCATTTTTGTAATCGAAATAAATTCATTACTGTTGTGTGATAAAATCAAATTTTTCCTTTTCAAATATAAAACAAACAAAAAATTTCTTCATCTTTCTCACGAAACCATCTTTTGGCGAAACGGAGTTTGTCGGGTTTGCTAGTGTAGCTATAAAATTAATTTCTTCTTTTTGTAGTATTCAGAATGCAATACAATTTATGTTATATAAAGGTGATGATCATTTTTACTAACGGCAACATTTTATTTATTTACATTCTATACTATTTTTTATATCATATTTAATCTTATATATCATACATCTATATTTAATTATTTTTCTTCAATTTTGACTTCGTCGTTCTCTCTCTTCAATTCTTGCTTCTTGATAAATTTCTAATTCTATTTAACTCCTATCTTCTTATCATTTTATTTCTTCATTCTTCTTTTAATAAAAATTAAATAAACTTTTCAATACACTTTTCGAGTATGACTTGAAATAAAAAGATATTAGAACGATCTTTAATTTAATAATTAAAAAATATAAATATTTTTATTGCACAGCCTCCAATAATGTCTTTTTATTTGAATTTGTGAAGTATTTCTTGAACGAGACCTGGTTGTTTTCTTTTTACCTTCTGTTTTTTTTTCTTCTTTTGGGTCTTTTGGCTGTTATAATATATCAAATATATTCATTTTAATTATTATTTTGATTTGATTATATATGTAACTACATTCGCAAGTAAGTATAAATATTAATAGGTTATATTAATTTTAGATTAGGATATTTTTAAATTTGAAAATATAATTATAATATAAGTTATGAATTATAATATTTTAACCGTAGTTATAACAATATTCGTTAAGATATATAAGGATATTGATGTTTTTATGCGAAAGTCAGATGAAACCTAACAAAGCATGTATTTTATTATTTTATATTCAAAATGTGGTTTTCAGGTCGCTTTGGTGAATGTTGTTCATCTGCGAGATCCAGTCTGCCCTTTACCTACATCTATGTTAGGACAATATTTAAAACAAAGCAGTGGTCAATTATCGACGCTAAAGGTAATTAAACAATTTTCAACAAAAATGTGGTAAGTTAACTATATTTTATTACATATTATTCTTATGTAAAATATTATTTATGTTGTTTGTTTTGTATATATTTTAATGATATTTATGTAAATTGGTAACATTAGTCCTGCCGTTCTGTATAAATATTCACATGATTACAACATAAATATTAAAAAAATTCTGTATTAATTTTTATATTTTGTAGTAAACTGAAAAAGAGTCAAAGTGCGACCAGAAAAGTTTAGATAAAATGTTTAACTGTTTATTTCGAAAATAAATATGTCACTTTCATTAAAAACAACTGTCAATTAATACCTTTGAAACATACTTTTAATATCTGAAATTATTCATTTGTTTAACACATTTTATTTCATCCTTTGCGTTTTCTGAAAATGGATTGGAACTCCTTGAGTATAAAATCTATCGCTGTAATATGCTTCGCCAAAATCGTAAAAAAAAAATCAAGATTTAATTACGAAAACTTCTACTTAAAATTGTCGGCTAAATAGTGGACGCAAGTCAACGTTCTATGCTAATTACAAGGAAACGGCTCAGCCGATCGTCGCCCAAAAACTAATCGATATAGTTCTTATCGAAATACATCGAATGGCTTTTAAACTTTTGAAATCAATCCAACCGCTTTTTGAGAAAATTTCGACAAAACGGCAAAAATCACATACACATACATATGCACATAATTTTTCAAAATGACGAGAAAAAATAAAAGTACCAAATTGGATTTTATCGTGATCACATAAACTTCTCCTTCGGAAAGTTAATAAATAGTAACTCTTCAATCTACATACGAGTAAAGAGCAATGTACCTGTATCAATAACATGCTTATCAATAACTAGTTGGTATTGGTATTTAGCCTTGAGGCAAGTTACATGAACTTCCCGATATGTGTAAATAATCGACTTAATTAATAAAAAATAAATTAATTTATGAGTGATTAAAGTATGAAAACGAGCGAACACGTTAAATCGGAATATTTTCTAAGAGCAAATTTTCAAAAAAACAACTATTTTTATAATTAAACCAGTTTCCGTAGGACTTTAATGGTTCAGTATGTTCATTAAGACCAAGTACTCAATCGTTATATCAAGTAAATCGTCTAATTTTAATTTGAACAAACGTCAAAAAAACTACTCATTTTCTCAAATTTTGTTGAATTTTTAAAATTAAGCTACATATCGTAAGGCCGTTATATTTCAGTAAATTCTATAAGACCATGATATAAATCGCCAAAAAAGTGCCATAAAAATCGGCTTAAATTTTTTTCAACAGTTAATTACAAAAAAACCGCTCGGTAGATTTTCACCTAAAACTAATCAGTATCATTCTCAGCTAATATCTTTCGAACAGTTTTTGATTTTTTTAAATCGATTCGGTAGTATGAGCTTAAATGTGTAGAAACGTTTAACACTTTTTTCTAAATGACAAAGAAACGGCTTAGCAGATTGTCGCACAAAACTGACAAATGATGGTCCTGATCGAGATACATCAAATGGCTTTTAAATTTTTGAAATAGGTACAGTGGTTTTCAACTCACAATCCTAAATCGATTTTAAAAAGTAAAAACTGTTCGAAAGATATTAGTTGGGAATAATACTGATTAGTCTTAGGTGAAGATCTATCGAGCCATTTTCTTGTAATTAACTGTTGCAAAAAACTTTTTTGCCGATTTTTATGAAACTTTTTTGGCGATAGATATCATAGTCTTAGCAACCATAAAAAAATACTACCATTATTATTTAAAAAAATCATGAAAATTTGAAAAAAATGTAGCAGCATTTTTCTAGACGTTTGTTAAAATTAGAGATTTTACTTGGTATGGCGATATAGTACCTGGTCTTAATAAACTTAATAAACCATTATAATCATACGGAAACTAGTATAATTATAAAAATGTATTGAACATTTGCTTTTAGAAAACACTCGGACTTGTATTAAGGTGCGTCCACATCTAACGAACGAACACGAACGAACATGTCGAACAAGAAAATACAAAGAAGAACGAACAGGAACACGAACGAACGCGAAAAATTCCAAACGAACTTGAACAAGCGCTTAAAAGCAGTGAGCGCTTGAATTTTCGTTGTTCGTACATGTTCCGTAAAACGTCAGTTTTATTATTGATATGGATGTAAGCTTTAATCATACGGCATTTTCACTGGTTTTTGTGTGATTTTTGTTCGTGTATATTTTGTAAATATACTGTAAATAAATTATTCAATTAATTTCACTCAGTTTTTGTATTTAATATTTATATTTTGAGTCATTTTCTTTCCTCAGCATTCATATTCGGAGCAAGCTGAACATTCCAGGCTTGAGCTAACTATACTCAATTTTCATACTCTCATCCTCAACATATATGTTGAATGTCTATGTATGATAACAATTTAATATTTACTTGTAAAGACTGCAATCATACTCTTCTTTTATCTATGACTGCAATTTCTTCTTTACTGCAGCTTCTGACATCCAAACGTTTTGCCTACACTTTCCCAGCATCGTTTTTTTTCTAATAATTTTTAAAAAGGGTCTTTAGTCTCCCATATTATAGGAAACTTTTTCTATTTCATTTATGATGATAAAATTACGTCATTTGACCATTCCATAATTATTCAAAATTTTCAAACTGTACACAATAATAAAAGTAAATATTATTAAATTATTAACATTATTATCAAATTATTAAAAAATTATTATTAAATTATTAAAATTATTAAAACAAAAATGTTCGTTTGCGTTCGTTGTGACGTCCACACTGCACATACGAGTTCAAACATGAACGAACAATTCCCTTTGATGTACCGACAAGTTGCGGAACATTGCTCGCCATGTTTGTTTATGTTCGTTCGTGATCGTCGTGGCGTCCACACTATGCTGTTGCCGTTCGTTCTGGTACGTTCTTTTATGTTCGTTCGTGTTCGTTCGTTAGGTGTGGACGCACCTTTAGACACGTGTTTGATTTTCAATACTGTGTAATAAATCCACTCGGAATACTTATAAATCATTCGTAAATTAATATATTTATTATTGATTAAGTTGATTGTTTACACATATCGAGAAGTTCATGTGACTTGCCTTAAGGCAAAATACCACTCACAGCTAGTAACTTTATTTAGCGCCTATAACTGACTTTCATTGTTCGGCAGGAATTATTATGTTAATTATAAATTTCCCATTTTTACCTTAATACGATCATTTCTATATTTAATTATGTGAATCCTTATGATTGTCTTTTATCATTGCAGCAATTGTACCTGGCCACACCAGGTGATACCAACAGCGCAAACGACATGACCCAGGCGCAGTTTTCGGCCAGTGACCGTGATTCGACCTATTCTAGTCTGATAGGGCAACCCGACCAGCTCTGCGTCGTGTGTCAATGTTTTCCGCTGTCGAGGGCTCTGCTTCCTTGCAGGCACACGTGTATATGTGCAATTTGTTTTAGTGAGTTATGTGATTAGGATAAAGAGATCGTTTGCTTCATTCATCACATTTTCATAATTAGTTCAATTAGTAGCATGATAAAATTTAGTCTTCATCACAATACGTGAATCATCAGTGATCGATAAATTAAGTTATGTGACTAGGATAATATAATCGTTTGCTTCGTTCATCACATTTTGATAATTAGTTCAATTAGTAGCATGATAAAATTTAGCCTTCATCATATTCATTGAAAACTTATTGGTTTTTCACAATACGCGAATCATCAGTGATCGATAAATTAATATATATATATATATATATATATATTCAATTTTACTAATAATCATTTTTGACATATATTATAAATTGTGCAGTATTAGTGATAAAAGTGATGAAAGAAATAATCTATATATTGTGATAATCATAAATATTCAAAGGTAAGTTCATTTTTAACTAATTGTAAGTAGCATATCATCTTAGGGCAATTTGCATGAAACTTCCGTTCCGTATACAAAATCAACTTAATCAGTAAAAAATTAGATTAAGCTATTTACATAAATAATTCAACTGTTGTTTGAAAAATAATTTTTTTGCTTTTGCTAACAAATAATCAGGACGACTTGCAATTGATGACAATCTACTGTACCGGCTGTAAACTTGATTTCATTGTGTATGTTATGCAATTTGTTTGATAAAAATTTGTGGTCATTGAAGGACATACATTTATAATATTAATTTATTTTGGATCATTTTTTAAAGAATGATGAGGTTCGAAACAATTTCCAAAATGCATAGCTGGTTGATTTTGACATGTTTTACAATAAAATGTTGTTCGCCGCCTTCTTCCAAGTGCTTTTCTGTCAGAACAGACAATACAATCCCTTTTTCTTTTTCTCGCATTTAGAATATGCCACTGATTAGTCAGTAAATTTATTTATTTTTGTGATGCCATAATGGTTTATTTTTTCTATTATATTGTCTAATAATTTATTTGTAGAATATAAAGTAAAATAATCTATTGGATGTCCTATATTGCTTGATATTTGTAGTCGGGATGTTTGTTGATGTGTGCCAAACTCGATTATTGAAGGAGAATCGGCACGTTCGCTAATGTCTTTCTGCTCTTCATTTAATTTGTCGAACGTCATTTTCTTTTTGTTAGTTGGATAATATCATCATCACATTCATCACTATCTTCGGTGCGAATAGTAATGTCGTAAAATTTGTCTGTATGAATGTCTATTTGAAACTCATCTATACTACATCTTAATTCACTAAATTTACCAGTCGTTTTGTCATATTTAAAAGCGCTCGGTCGTTTTATATATTAAAAAAGGACTATATACCAAAGAAAAAGGCTAAAAATACTACTAGTGCAGTAAACGGAGAGGAAAAAAGGGTATAACCTCTGAATTTTTTTACTGTGCTCCGAATTGAATGAAATTTTGGAATTAGGTTCATCTTACCCTCAAGTTCAAAAGTGAAAACAATTCGGGTTGCGCCATCACCCCCGGGGGTTATGACACCCCCTTCTCATTTGTATAATTACATTTTTTCAAAATAACGTCGGAAATCGTTAGAAGAACTAATTATAAGAAAAAAATTCAGACCTAAAACGCTCCGTTTACTGCACTATACTAAAATAACTTAAAATTATTTTCAAAATAGAACACTGTTTATGTAATTTATTCAACTTTTCGATGCAAACTGAGTCATTGTTTATAAAATAGCCTGTGCCTCACAGAGTATGTTTGTCCACTGAGGTGGACAGCCGTCCCCAAAGAGTTAAACATAATTATAATATATGAAATCATTGATGTAAGTTTGAAAAACAATGCTTTTCCAAAATTTACTCTCATTCGACTCAGAATGACTAGAAACTTCTCCTTTGGGAAGTTGATAAGTATTAAATTTTGCAGTAATGCTGATTGACATTACGAGCAGAATGTAAACAATAATTTGATTTATTGCTTGATAATATGTAAATATGGTAATTCATTTAATAGAAGAAATGTCTTTCCCATCACTTTTCTATGCTGGTATAATAATTGGCTTCATAATTTGATAATCGAACTCATTTGTTATTATTTTGCTAATTTGATGGTTCAACCTTTCTTTGCCTTTGGAAAAACCCTTAGCATTGAAATTGCGAGTTGTACTATATACTATTGTAGTGAATAACTACATTAATAATGATACACATATTTTTTTAATTGTTGTTTTTAACAGCGATCAGAACTTGAGGTTTCTATGAGCTGTTGTTATGACTATTTGATTAACTACTAATACCTAATAACAACGTCAATATTTTTTGGGTGGCAACCCAAACAAGTTGCATCTCTTTGTGATCAATTTTTATTATTACAATATTTGTAATAAATATGAATTATTATTAATGCAGCAATGCCGGATCAGGGCTATTGTCACGGCTATTGTCAGGGCTATGTATATTTCCAAGTGAAAACCGTTGTCACTACTGCTTCACAACAGGCTGCTCAAAGATCGAACGCGAGACCCCTGATCCAGGTCGAGTCGTTCTAGTCATTTACCGATCCCTTTATTTTTTAAGTGCGTTTGTTTCGCATAATTTTTTTACTATTGATATCATTGTTAATCATATAGAACATATATATGCTAATTAAAGTTAATTTGTTTCAGTAAATATGTGCATTCAAATGACAACTAAATGTAAGATTAATTCATATCATATGTGTATGTACGAGATGTATACTTTATGTACATATGGTACTTATGGTACATACCATGTTACCATGGTATATGTAAAGATAAATTGTCAGTTTACCCATTTTAAAGTAAATGTAATGTAAATTTATGTATCTTAAATCAAATTTTGCTGATTTCTGTTCAAAATAAATACTTGTGTCGATGCGAATAAACAAGTTTCGATATCCATGACCTATTGAACGTAAGATGTTATATGACTTACCTAGTACACAATAATACGAAACAAAACCTGATTTTTTATGATAAACACGAAAATGGCGGTAATAACTTGCGTTCATAACACTTGAAAAGTATATAAATTTTTATTTTTATAAAGAATTCAAGAATCATTTCTGCTTTTTATCCAAAACTATTTTCTGTATATGTAAGACAATTCTACCATTTGAATTAATTTAAAATTGTATTGCTTTTGGGTGTGATATAACTGGTTTTACACGTTTTGTTTACAAACAATTAAATTTTATGTGATGTATGGTTCAATGTATTCTAGTTATATAATTTTTTATTTGGTTTCAAAAATATTCTTTTGATCTTAGCTGGAGCGAATAGTTGATAACAATAGAAATAATATCGTTAATATTGATATATCTGTGGTAGTCCATTAAAAATTGCGCAATCTCTTTGAAGATTGGCTTTAGTTTATTGCAAATGGTTATTAACTACAATTGAAACCATAGATAAGAGAGTAAAACATTGATTGCAGCATTGAGAAATATATTACTAAAAATAGTTATTGAAATCAATTAATTATTTCGATTTATTATCAAAATTAGGGTGTGAACTGGTTTACAAATTATGAAAATTTTCTGCACTTAATCGATTTTATATCTTGATTCATTATTATTTTAGCATCCATTTATTCATAGTTTTTAAATTATTTGCCTCCATATTTAGCCATATAACTCATAGGGTATGTAAATAACTCTGATTGTTAGATAATATGAATGAATTAAAAAAAAAATTGCCTGCATAATCATTATTGCAAATAATGATTATGCAGGCAAATGGTATTGTCTAAAGGTTTTTTTAGGTAATGTTCACTAAATTATTAGCACACATATTCTATTTTTCCTAAATACAGAACAAGCACATAGTAGTACTTAATCAGGATATATAATGTTGCATTTGAACGTTAGGTATTTGGTTGTAGTATTTGGATTCTTGTTACTTTAGAAATATTATGTTAGAAATTTTAAGCATATTTATCCAAGAAGATGTAATATTTTGAAATCTTACATCTTCATCACTTGAGGTATAATTTGTGTCTTATATATGGCACCGTTAGTTAATCTGTGATCTTTTTTAAAATTGTTGGTTTCTTCAAAGCAAGCTTATAGTTTGGCGATGACAAATTATTATAAATATAAACACGAAATAATTATCAACGATAGAAGTTAAAATCATGAATTACAAAATAATCCAAATTTTTACTTTCAATTAGTTGTTAAAGCTGCTTTGACATACACCTAGTATATAGGGCGATTATTAGTTCTTGCAAATGCAGAAACTTGAGTCCTGTTATGAAGGAGACTGTAATAAAATGCTTAAAAAAATTAAAAATATTTATATCGTAGCAGTTCAACACAAATATATTATAAACTCATAATTCAACCTTCGAAGTTACTAAATTTCTTACGTCTTTACGTCATAAGGGAACTCTTTATGGTTTGTTTTGATGTAGGTTTTGTATTAACAATATATCAAGTTGACAATTAAGTGTGGATTTTTGTTAGAAAATCAGACATTTTTTATGGAGCTGAATAATTTTGTTCTGTATATGTATGTATAATTTTATTATGTATTGACTATTTCCATCATTGATCTTGTCATACTTCATATAGCATCATTAACCCATTTTCATAAAACTTTCAGTTTTTATTAGCTAAAAACTGAATCAGGTATAATTTGGCACCAACATAATCATCATATTATTTACCATCCAAGCAGCTTCGTAAATATAGAAACGAAAAGTAATCAGAAAGTACAAAACTTTATGGTGGACGTAGCAAAACATTCAAACGAAGATCCAATAATTTTTGCTAGGTGGCCAAATATATGCGATTTCAAAATTGCAATAAAAAACGTTTTGATTTGACAATTCAGTCCGATTTTCTTCAACTGCAATTCGTTAGTTCTTTAATGTATACATAAAAATTGATCGTTCAGTTGAATCGTTTCACCATTAAAGTAAACAACTCGTTTGTAATCTACTTCAACTGGGCGACCGGGGAGTTTTTCATCTTTGAGAAAAAAATCCCTATTACGAAATCATTGGCAAATCTGTTTCGACACTGACATTGAATGATTGATTTGATTTTTTAAGGATTTGTCGCCATAAACACCACACAATTTTTTATGAGCTTGAAATTTAATTTCACCTTTGCCGAAATAAAAAGTAAAATATGATAAAAATTTGGAATGGTAAATGAAAACTACGCAATCGATCAGAAAACTCTTTTTACTGATTGACAGCTGATTGCATACTATCCAATAACAAAAGGCATTTTACATTCAAACTAAATCAGCAAAACTAAATCTGCAATTAAAACCATCCAAGAGTGAAAGCCGCGCTTACTTAGTTGCCAACCTAATAATATCAAAATTCAAGAAAATAAAAGTACATATTCAGTTCAGATAGTTCAGAGATAAAGTACAATTATCCTGAAAATTTAAATTTACATCTCATTACCGTTGTTAGAGTTTGGTATCCTTCATCGTCATTCAACGTCATCTGTTGCCTAAAAATCGTATAGTGTGTTCACCAACCTTTCTTTGTATGGCAACAAAGTTTGTCTCATGGTCAATATTAATTTGTTTTCTTTCCTAGGTAAATTAGATAGATGCCCGATGTGCAGGGCACCGATATCATCGTTCTTCACGATTCGAGCCGAGGATTACATCCCGCAGTCGGCGATTCCCGCCCACCACACGACGAGGAGCGGCAAAGGCGGCGCGGCCATGTGGCTGGACGCGCTCAACGACAGGCTCACCGACTTCCTCGGATTTCGATAGCGACCGTAGTATTAGGTTAGTTTTAATTAAGATGTTTATTGATAGAGCGAATGTATATGAAGTGTATGAGTTATTGAAATAAAGAATTATTTTATTATAATCTGTAATTTATGATCAATTTTCATTCGGCTTGCCAGGGATATTTTATTTGAAATTCGTTGTAACAGCTTTGTCAACTAATGTTTAGCATACATATTTCAATGGATGTGTACGGCGGTGGTTTCGAGGCTTTTTGATCTCAAGACAGTTCGCATATATACGTATGTGTATGCATGTGTTTTGTATACCGAAAGACATGCACTTACGCAACTCAGACTAAGTTTTTTGTCTGGGTATGTTGGACTCGATAAATAATGCGAACTAAAACCTCCTCTTATCTTTTGCATCTTGTCCCCACGGAAACCGCCGTTAGGCTTTACTTCATGGGAGGGAGACTTCAGAATTCTATAGTTCCCACTCTTAATTATACTTCTGTCCTAATTGCTCCCATTCGCTTGATTTCTTTTCGAAAAATTGCATGTCTATTACAACATTCGTACCGAAAGTGTATATTTATATATTTTCGGTGAAACCTGTTTTTGTGCGATGCTTTTTTATGCGATTTTGTTTTTGTGCGATTTTATTAACTTCCCGTAGGATAGTTATAGTAATGGGCAGGCAATCGAAAATGAATTTTTGGCTTATCTTCACGTTTTAGAGGTTTCTGAACATTTTGGCATTCCTCAGAAAAAATGGATGTGTTTGTGTGTTTTGTATGCCCGCATTTTTTTGTCTACGTTTTTGGGCGCACGAATCAACCGATTTAAATGATTCGATTCCTATTGATAGGGAGATTTTGTGATTAGTTATTGGCAACGGCTGTTCCAGCCGTTACGGAGATACGGAGCAAAGAGTGAAGAATATAGAAATCGAGATTTTGAGAGAACGGAGCGATTTGAATCATCCAAAATTCATTCGTAATGACGAGTATAAGTGGTGATTAGTTTTTGGAAAAGGCGGGTCCAGCCGTTTTGGAGCTAAATGTGCAAGAAAGGCAGTTTTCGAGGGAACTAAGCATCCGATTTGATTGATTCAAAAAACTTTCTCCTTGTTTTCATGAAATAATTGCTTCTGGAAAAAAAATGTTTTAAAATAGTTTAAAAATTGAAACTGGTTTTGCGAAAATTTTTTAGACTACCCTCGTATTACAAAATGTCAGAGCCTCCAGCTTCACTCTGAATTAAGGTTAATTATAAATTCTATTTTTTATTTAATATTTATGAATTACAATCTGTCCATATTACGAGGATATACAGTAATTGTTCTGACTCTTATTATTTGGAAGGCAACCCGGTAGTTGTCCTATCCTGGTTATAGTATATTATAACTATACTCAATAGTATTTTTGGCTTCATTTTTGTATTGTATCTTAATTGGCAATATTTAAGACCTATAACCTAAAGTGGAAATTCACTATCATGCTACCTGATATCGAGCTGACGTAATTCAGCTAGCCTACGTTCGTTACACCACTGGCCTAATTAACAATATTATATATCACTTTTAATCTTTATTCAGCTGCATTAATAGTTTGCAGAGTAACGTAGTTTGATAATAAATTTTTTAAATTCATTATTGCCCAATGTTCAAATTCACAACTAATGTTGTGTTGTGATGCACTAAATTTTTCTGGCGTTCAGTTAGCATTGTAATTTTGTTTTTGAATATTTCTAAATTTATTTATATTATATATAAAAACTTTAATTCAATATTTAATGTAAAATATTCATCTCTAACAAAATATCGTTCTCTGTGAAATTTAACCAAATACAATCTAATATTAATTGATTCACTTAAAAATTCGTTATCACGTTAATAATTTCAATTAAGAGTGTGGTTTGACATACTGAAAATCACCTATTTGTAAGATTAGGAAATTTAATTATTTTATTCAAGTGTTGGAACTTTCTTTGTGTGTATATTGTGTAAAGTATATAAATCGTGTATTTTATAAAAAAAAATTAACCGCGTAGATATAAACTATGTATAGAAATTATTAGGTGTACATTATTTGATCAAGATAAGCATTTTACCAAAATTTTGAACAACATGATATATTAGTTGATATATCTTACAAAACTGAATGAAACATTAAGGGGGCAATTCTCCGATGAAATAGAAATGTTATGGCACCGCATTGTTACGAACCTATCTTTATATGAATTGGTAGTAATGAATTGTCAAAAAGCTATTTATCTTGCGATCACGACCTGCAGACATAAAATCTAACCTACAAAACGCATAAACTCTGATGACTTATTGATAACACATATGTGAAGTTAATTTTATGTGTAAAATACCTGATCGCGTATGAAATACATATCTTTTTGAAGTTTTTGCTATTATTTCATATGAAGAAAGCACCGCCATAACATTTCTATTTTATCTTAGAATTGGCTTCTTAAACTCATCTTTTAACCCTTTCCACTCGGATGCCGCCGCTCTGGCAGCAAAATACATATTAAATCTGCAATTCGCGAGTGGAAAGGGTATTATTAACTGAGATTCACTGTTGGTTTGTAAATTTTTATCACAATATGATGCTTAGATTACGATTTTATTACGAATATATGGTAAATTTTCAATGCCATATTATTATTAACCATGCATATTGTTTTGTTGTGAGTAAAATTGTTAATAATAGTTTTAACGTAAATTAGAAACGTGCACCCATATACCATTAAAATTTAACGATATTAGCGATTTTTTACACTAAAGATATTACATCTGATTACATATACATTTATGATAATTATTATGATTACTGTTTCGTAGACATCATGCATTAACATAAAATAATTTTGAATATCTATTCATTTCTTGATTTACGCAAACGAAACAACAATAAGAACTTTTATTTTGATCATTATTCAACATGTTTCTATTTATTGAAAATGTATTATAAAATGATCGATCACAAAGAAATGTTTTTATATAACGTTCGATCGGCTGTTGTATTCAAAACCTTCTTCCAAAGAACAAATAGTAAATTTTTCATTCATAATCCAACTCAGTATAAAACGAATAGACAAGCTTCATTGTCAAAAGCGCGAACGCTATTATAATTTCTAAGGAAATTTCACTTTTTCATAATTACATCAAAGCGTTGTGGGTAAAAGCGGTTGGAAGAAGATTGTTACAGTCCAGTCATATTAAACTCTTACACCAGATAAATACCATTTAAATTGTATAGATTGGATAATAAAATTATATCATTCACATATTCTATTATTTTTATTATAAGTATTTTTTGTATTAATAATTGTTTTAATGAAATTATCAACTTACCGTAGGGTAAGTTACAGTAATCGCCAAAAGTAGAAAACGAAAAATTTTGCTCATCTTTACATTTCAGAGCCTTCTGAACATTTTGGCATACCTTAGATGTACCTTGGATATATGTGTGGCGTGTGTGTGTGTGGGTGCAGTATGTATGTGTGTATGTCTGAATACAATTTTTCGTCTACTATTTTGACCGCACGCGTCAACCGATTTGAATGATTCAAGAATTATTTGATTCGTATTGACTGGGAGACGTTGTGATTAGTTTCTGACAAAGGCATGTCCGGTCGTTTTGAAGATACGGAAAAATCTGACCAGAATGATTCTATGGTTTGGTAACTCACGCGAGTTACTGTGCTCGGATTCATCGAAAAGAAAGTAAAATTGGACCGGGTTCAAATCCCGCAAGTGCCTATTATTTTTCATTTTTTATGTTTGTATAATTAAATATTGAAAACAATATTCATAAATATTGTACAAGTTAGACGTTCGCAATCAGAACTTAAGAGTTCTATGAGCTGTTGTGTAGAAACTGCTCATATCCAGTAGACATATCTATATTTGATATATTTTGTTGTTTATATATTGTATTTATTTATTATCTTACATTTTTATCATACCCTTAAGAAAAAATAATTATAGTTACTCATAGTTTATCTTGTTATTTATTGTTAACTAATAACGCGGTACGAGTACGATTGATGCATATTGTCACAAATTCTAACAATGAGTTTCTTATAGCGCAGTTTCCATCTTTCGCGGTATGGACATAACGCGTTATAGAAGATTGACAGTCTTCTATACCTTTTTAATTTATTTTCTATTATATTATCATAAACATACATTAACAGTTATTTAAAAACCCTGATAAAAATATACAGTTGCAATTAATATATTCTGCGTTTTGTTTGAGAAAAAAAAAGTCGTTTTAGAATTATATATGCAGAGTTCAATACCCAGGCCCACATTATTATTGCTACGTTGTCATTTTTATTCGTAAATGCGGTCAATGGTTTGTCAGTATGAACATGAGTCTTTAAACTAATATTATTCCGTTACTAATCAGAAGTTTTGATGTTGAGTACAGACACATGAATCACATACTTTTAATTCATTATATTTATATTTTCTATTCTCAAGAAAATAGGTTAGATATAAAATATAAAGAATCACCCGTTCGATAAATGTTCAATGTAAAAACAACAGAAATCTATTGACAGCTAATAAAAATAACTGGAAAATTGTAATTAGTATTTATACAAAAAATATAGAGTTCGAAATGAAGAACGTTTGAACGTTTGAACGTTTTAACGTTTGAACTTTTTGTTCAAAATTGAAAACACCAAATGTTGTAACCGAAAATGGTCCATACTAACTAGAATTAATAATTTTGTTAGTACTTACTTCTTCATACTTAATTCGTTACTTTTTGAGACTATTATTTTATTACTTACTTTAATAATTGTATTTGACTTGGTGTTACTTTAATAATTGTATTTATCTTGGTATTCAATAACTGAAGAAAACTCGATTTTAGGCTGACTTTTATATAAGTAGAGGTCTGTTAGTCCGGCACCCAACAGATCGGATTGCCCGATAGTCCGACAACATTTCGCAAAATTTTTATTCTTTCCAAAAGTGTGCTTTTATAGCCAACAAAAACGATCGAGAGCTATTCGGAAAATTTTGGGGTAGCTTGGAATGAGAATACAAATAAATGAG